ATGTGTTGGGCTGTCTGGAGAGATTTGTCTCCGCACATTTGAAGCAAGGAATTTATGGGACGGATTAAAAACTGGTGGCAGTTTGTGACAAATACCAGCTTTCGTGGGGCTGCGTTTTCCTATGGGACAATTCCTTGCCTTTCTCAGCATCCTGCGCAGACCGATTTTTTCTCTCCACAGAACGTTGTGCTTTAATGATGCTTCATGTTTAATTCCCGAGATGCAATGTTACCTTCGAGCTGCAGACAATGGCTCTTGTGAGCAGCACAAAGGCACCCCAGTGGGGCAGAGCTGCTTCTCTAAAACAGGAAAAGAAGGAGCACGCTGTGCACGGCAAGTTATCCTCTCTCCTCCAGACAGAGCACCCTGGTTTCTGAGGCCGTTGTGGGGCTGCTGGTGGGATGCTAGGCACGGGGGGGTGTCCCAGCCTTCATCCCGCTCTGGTGGGATGTGAAGGCTGCAGGTCAGGAGGAGGTGGCCCCGTGGATGGCGGTCACATTGAGGTCCCCTTCTCTTCTGCTACGCCACAGAGTTTTACAAGAAACTATTGCTACGAAAGATTGCTGATGGCAGAAAATCAGATGCTACATCCCAAAGAGGAGCTCGGCCTCGCGTCCAGCCCGGCACAGGGCACAGAAATCCCACGGGCGTCTCACAATGCCGTCACCCCGTTGCTGGTGGAAGGCGGTCCCGGTGCTGCGGGATGGGACGCCGACCGGGAGAGGCGGGGAAGGTGTCCGATGGCGAAGCCTCCCCGATGGCATCGGTGTTGCGGTGTGGCGAGTGTGCGGGGCTACGATCCGGACCCCTCGGGGTGCCGCTGGGGCGGGGGGCTCAGCTGGCTCTCCAGCAGCGCCCGGGACCCCTCGGCCGACATCCGCCGCAGCCGCAGCCGCACGGAGCCGTAGTTGCTCCCGGCACGGCGGGCGGCGCGGGCCCGGCGGCGGGCGGCGGCGGCGGCCAGCAGGAGGGCGGCGAGCAGCAGCCCTCCCAGGGCCAGCAGGGCCAGCCCGGCCACCGTGCACCGGTCGAGGCGGGCGCGGAGCCGCGCCGCCCTCTCTTCCAGCCGCTCCATCTGCCGCGCCGGTACGCTCGGGTCGGGACGCGCCGCCCGCGGCACGGCCCCCGCCAGGACCACCAGCGCTGCCCCGCTTAGCGCGCAGCCCAGCGCCAGCGCCAGCCCCGGGCCCGGAGCCGGGCCGAGCCCCCCAGGGCCGCCGCCGTCCGCCGCCGCTTCGCCCGGGCTCCGCAGCTCCGCCGCCCGCGGGGACGCCATGGAGCCGCCGCCCTGCGAGGAGAGAGGTGAGCGGCGGAGGGGCTGCATCCCCCGCACCGCCTGCCCCAGCCGGGATGCACCCCCTCCTGTCACCCCCAAACCCGGCCTCCGGAGCAAGCTGCTCCCGCCCTATCTCCCGAACCCCAAGGACCCGCGTCTCCAAACCGGGCTGCTCCCTCCCTGCCCCCATCAGGCCGAACCTCCTCAGCCCCCGGGACCCACATCCCGAACCGGGCTTTATCCCGCGTTCCCCCGCAGGGTTGTTCCGCCCCCCCTTCCTCCTTGGCCCCCCTCCCTCGCTCCCTCCCTCCCAACCTACCCAGGGAACCCTTGACACCCCCCGGGCTGCCTTCCCCGATTCGGGCTGTCCACCCCGCTCCACATCCCGGACCTGCCGTCCCCTCCTTTCCCCCGGTTCCCTTCCCGCACCGAGCCGCCTCTCCCCCCGCTCCCCGCACCTAGCTGCGCTCCCTCTTCCTCGGTCCCAGCCGCCTCCCCGGTCCCGCCCCGCCGCTGCCCGCACCGAGCTGCCCCCCCCCGGCCGCCTACCCCCGCCGGCTCCCCGGTGCCGGTGCAGCCGCGGCGGAGGGTGGGGAGGGCGGTGGGACCCCGCGGTGCTCCCGGCGATGCACGCACACACGTGCACACGTAGCGGCGACTGCCCCGGGGGTACACACGTGCACACACGTATGCATACACACACACACACACACACACACACGGTTGCACACCGGCACCGCCCGTGCAGCGCACCTGCAGAGGAGGGATCCCGAGGTGGGGAGTTTGCAGATGGAGGGGGCTAAGCAGCACTGCAAAAAGCACGGAATGTGCCCAGGGGATGTCCATATTGGGTGCCAGCCATGCACCCCCAGCCAGCCCCACTGGGGCCATAGGACAACACCAGGCTGCGGTCTGCAGCACAGAGATCCCCAGCACCGCATCATTTATTTCCCTTTTCTCACTGCCTCCGGCTGCACGCGCTCTGCTTTTCTTTGACCTGAAACTGGACCCAGGCCCGAGCCCCAGCAGTGACCTGCTGGCAGGAGCGTGCTTTGAGCCGTGTCGTTAATGAGACGTGTGCTATTCCTGCCTTTGGAGTGCTGCCTGGAGATGGTGGTGCGGATGTAAATCCCTACTGATAGCGGGTGGGCTGCTGAAAGCTGCCGGGAAGATCTGTCCGTCACACTGCCATTCCCTTCAGCACGTTCCCATGCCTCAAACACCTTCACAAGCTCACATACGACAGCGTGAGATGATGCTCAGATGCTGCTGCCGGCACCAGGTGGGCTCATATGCCCATTCCCTACACCCTGAGCCCCCCATGAAACAAATCCCGCAGCCACTCTTGGCTCCATGCAACCCACAGCACTAGGGCAATGTCCTTCACGATGACACCAACAGCATCTTTCTACCACCATGACATCAACAGGGACTTTCTGTGAAGTCTCTGCGAAATTCAGTCAAAACCACAAAGGTTCTAAGAGGGTGCATGGGGGTGCAGAAATAAAGGGGTGCACGTGGATTTCTGTGCAGCTGAAGGCTGTTGCACATCCAGGTGCTGGTGAGGGCTGCTCGGCTCTGGCCCTGCTGCTCAGCGGGGCAGTGACAGCTGACAACTTCATCCTTCCCCTCAACACCTTCTGCATTAAACAAATGGTGGTTAAAATTAGCCTCTGGATCATTTTGTAGCCGTTTCCTTCCATGTTTTATTTTTATTTTCTTCCACGTGCCTTAGGAAGGCTTTCTGCCTGGATTAATTCGTTTCATTTGGCTGATGCTGACCTGCTCCTCCCGAAGCGGGTCTGGGGGTCACCTGCCTCTTTTGCTGCCTTGTGGATGCACACCACTCTATTATGTTTTGTTCACAGTGAGGGATGTGTGTGCTGTGTGCCTGTGACCGCCCTCCCAGCTCCTCTCCTGCGCTGTGTCAGAAGGCAGAGTCTTCCCAGCACAGCATCCCTGGGGATGCATCCAGAACTGGGCTGAGAAAAGAACAGGACTTAAAATAAATGTAAGTGCATCCTGACACGTTAACCACATTTAGAGAGGTTTCAGTGCCAACCCACTCGGCGCTCAGATACAAGTAGGTCACAGGACGCAGATTGTCCCGAATCAGCAGGAAAGGATGGATGTGGAGCAGGCGGGCAGGAGGGAGAGGGGATGGGAGGAGAGCTCTGCGCTCTGCTGCCACTGCCACTCGTATTTCCTTGGGGGGAACAGAAATGATGATGGTTTGCTCCTGAGCTCTGCATTTTGGGGCAACTGGCTCCCATAGTGATGAGGCACCGGAATGCGCATGGTCTGTGTGCAGAGCTGCTGTGATCCCATGGTTAGATGGGGCAGCAGCCATCAGGAGGACATGACAGATGGATGAGGGAGATGGGATGTGAGAGGGGGTCCTGCACCTTGCTGTGCTGCTCCGCTGCATTCACAGGATGGGTGCTGAGGGATTGGGATGTGCAGCCCCGAACCTACAGCCCCAAGTCCTGCACTGGGCTGATGGGATTGGGATGTGCTGCCCCAAACCT